ACCCGGGCAAGCCCCGCAGGCCACGCCTCAGGCGGGCCGCCCCGCCCGCTCCAAGGCCCCTCCCACTATCGCCCGGCCCCATTTTCGCTTTTTTTCTGGGGTTGCCCAGCTTGGTCCCGCCCTTCAGTTTCGGCCGACTCCAAGCAAGTTCGTCGGTTTTGGGGAATCTGGCCCCGTTCCTAGTGCTGGAGAGGGGAAGTTGTTGCCTTTCCTGCTCCGTGGCCCGGTCCCCTCTCCCTCCAGACCCGCCTGGGCATAATGGACACGGGTTTACCCAGCCTCCATGCCAAGCCTAGGGGGTCCCAGCGAGTCTGTTGTTAGGGACTTTGGGTCACACCCTCCGTGGAATTCCTTGGCCTGTGCATCTCGGGCCTATCCCCCCACCTTGCTCGGGAGGGGTGGAGGGTGAAGCTCCCGGGAGCTCATTGGCACTAGAAGTTCTGGCCACGCCCTCTCCGCGAGTCCAGTCCCATGCGGGATGAAGAGGGCACCTTCCACCTAGAGACTGCTGCGCTACCCGGGTTTCCCCTTTCCGGCGCCTTCCAGCCTCCCAATCCTCGGGTCTCGCCTCCCTCCGTCTCCTCCCTTTCCCCTCTGTCTGTCTTTCCATTGGTCCACGCCGCCCACGTGCTCCCCGGGGCTCCGCAGGCTGGACTGGGCCCCGGGCGGTGCGCAAGGCTGCACCTCCTTCCCGGCGCCCTGTCCTCTCCCGCCCTACAGGCCCTAGCGGGGCAGGCGGGAGGTGAGCGCTGCCGTCTCGCTCCCGGATTTCCGGGATCCTGGAGGTGGGGGCTGTGCCCTGAGGGAGGGCACCGGGAACCGGGATGGGGCTGGGGGACAGCGAGTGCCGGGAAGTGTGCGGGATTTCACTCCGGGGCTCGGGTCGAGCTCCCCGTGCTCCAGGCGGCCCTGCGCCTCTTCTCCCCAAGACCCTTCGGGGAGACCCGCCGGAGACAACTTGTGTGGAAGCCCGGAGTCCTCGGAATAACCCTTGGTAAGTGTCACCGCGCCCTTCTTCCCTTACGCCAGTCCGTAGTTCGTGGTCCTTCGCCGGTGTCTCCGGAGCCCAGCGGCTGTGGATGGCAGAAGCCCAGAGTGGGACTGGTCAGCTGCAGGAGCAGAAGAAAGGTAGGGCACCCTGACTCCCGACCCCGCGCTTCCGAATGAACTGCCCGTCGCCCCCGGCCCTGCTCTCTCAGGCTGTCCGAAGGCAGTCTCTCCACGCCCCTCGGGCAAGCCTGGGTAGGGGCGCGGCCTCCTAGCGTCTTCCCTTTCCCTCCCCTCCCAGGTCTCCTGATAGCCGTCAGCGCCTCCGTGGATAAAATCATCTCGCATTTCGGGGCCGCCCGGAACTTGGTGCAGAAGGTGAAGGTGGCTGGAGGGAGGGTGTTGGGATGAGGAGAGTAATGGAGCTCCGCGGTGGGTGCGGGAACGGTTGGCGGGTGGTGGCTGGAGGGATCTCTGGACCCATCCGCATCGCGCCGCCTCCAGGCCCAGTTGGGTGATAGCCGGCTGAGCCCGGATGTGGGGCACCTGGTGCTGACCACCCTCTGCCCGGCCCTCCACGCCCTGGTGGCGGATGGGCTGAAGCCTTTCCGGAAGGACCTCATCACCGGGCAGCGCAGGAGCAGCCCCTGGAGCGTGGTGGAGGCGTCGGTGAAGCCAGGTGAGCCAGGAGGGCGTGGGACCCGGCAGTGCGCAGGGCTGGGCCGGGCTTGGCTGACTGCACCCCACGTTCTCAGGCTCCAGCACCCGCTCCCTTGGAACCCTGTATAGCCAGGTCAGCCGTCTAGCCCCGCTGAGCAGCAGCCGTAGCCGCTTCCATGCCTTTATCCTGGGCCTTCTCAAGTGAGTTGCCTTCTTCCCAGTGCCCTTCCCACGACCTGGGACTGCAAGAGCATCATGGGTGGGACACAGTAGTAGTACCTCATGTCCCCAGAGAAGGCCCCCGCTCCTTCCAATCTCATCTCCCATCCTCCACCCAGAAAGGACTGGAGTCCTCTACCTCCCTGAACTTCCATTCCCTCTTTTCTCCCCCAGCACCAAGCAGTTGGAGCTGTGGTTTTCCAGTCTCCAGGAAGATGCAGGTCAGAGGTTCAGATGGGAGAGGATGGGGCTGATGGGCTGGGAGGATGGGAAGGAAAGGGTTCTCTCCTGCTGGTTCCCACTGGTGCCAGAATGCCATTAATCCAGATCTCCGATCTTATTACTCTTCTAATTAAAACTTTCTAAGGAGGCCCATCGCCCATAGGATGAAAGACCCAAAGCCTTGGCTGTCTGGCCTCTGCCCTCTTCCCCTGCCTTGGAGGCCAGGGCTTTCCCTGGTCTTGCCAACAGTCTTCCCGCCTGGCCCTTCCTGCTCCAAGGCCCTGCTTATGTTGTTCCTCTATCTCCTGCCCCTCCTGCTTCCTCATGAACTGTCATTCATCCTTTGAGTCCTTCCCCAGTGAGGCCTTACCTCTACCCTCAGACTAGGCCAACCCCCACACCATTTTGTATGTGCTTCTATGGCTCTCCTGTCCTCCTCCTTTGCACTGTCACTCAGTTACTTGTCACCACTTGCTGTGTGTGTGTGTGTCTTCCTATTTGGGCTAGGTTCCACGCAGGCAGGGATGTCAGACCTATAGCTCACCACACCCTTCCTCCTCTCTGCCTCAGTGCCCAGCAGAGTGAGGCCTGGGAGGATGTGTGCTGACTGGTGGGCTGCTCTGGGGGGTCCTCTGGGACTAGGTCCAGGGCAGAAGCTGATGTTGACCTGCTCTTTTCCAGGCCTGCTCTCCCTCCTGTACCTGCCAACAGGATTCTTCTCCCTGGCCCATGGTGGCTGTCCCTCCCTGTCCACAGAGCTGCTGCTCCTGCTGCAGCCTTTGTCGGTGCTCACCTTCCACCTGGACCTGCTCTTTGAGCACCACCACCACCTGCCCCTGGGCCCGCCTCAGGCGCCTGCCCCTCCAGGCCCGCCTCCGGCTCTGCAGCAGACTATGCAAGCCATGCTGCACCTGGGGGGCCGGCTGGCCCAGAGCCTTCGGGGGACTTCCAAGGAAGCTGCTCCAGACCCCTCAGACTCTCCAAACCTTCCCACACCAGGGAGCTGGTGGGAGCAGCTGACCCAGGCCTCCCGGGTCTATGCCTCTGGGGGTACTGAGGGCTTTCCTCTTTCCCGATGGGCACCGGGGCATCATGGGACTGCAGCTGAAGAAGGTGCACAGGAGAGACCCCTGCCCACAGATGAAATGGCACCAGGCAGGGGCCTCTGGTTGGGAAGACTATTTGGAGTGCCTGGGGGCCCCACAGAAAATGAAAGTGGAGCCCTAAAGTCCAGGTAATGGGGTACCTTGTCCTTTCTATGACCTTCTGACTCTCAGATCTCCCAGTGGCCTCATTTGAAACTCTATAGTGATGATCCTTTAGGGCAGAGGTTGGCAGTCTGTTTTTCTACAGCCATGAGCTAAAAATGGTTACATTTTAATGGTTATATTAAGTGCCTATATAATGATCTCAATTTTCCCTCTTGGTCCTAGGTCCGAAAATATAGTTATCCCCAGGTACATGTGGGGAATTGGTTCTAGGACCCTCACATACACTAAAATATGACATACTCAAGTCCTATGTTGATGTATAGGAAAAGACAGCCCTCAGTATATGTGGGTATTATATCCTGAGAATACAGTATTTTCTGTTCAGTTGGAAAAAACCTGCATATAGGTGAGCTTGCGCATTTCAAACCTGCTTTGTTCAAGGGTCAACTGTATTTACTATCTGGTCCTTTAGAAAAATGAAAAACAGCCTGGGCAACATGGTGAAACCCTGTCCCTATAGAAAAATACAAAAATTAGCTGGGCATGGTGGCACACACCTGGTGGTAGTCCCAGCTGCTCTAGGAGGCTGAGGTGGGAGGACAGCTTGAGCCTAGGAGGTCGAGGCTGCAGTGAGCTGTAATCACACTGCTGCATTCCAGCCTGGGTGACAAAGCGAGACCCTGTCTCCTCTCCAAACAAACAAACAAACAAAATTGCGAATCCCTGCTCCAGGCCTCAATAACTGGTGGGTCTTTAATGGCTTGAGATGTTCTCTAGTGGCCCTTTCGTTCTGAGCCTCTCTAGACCCTGCTGGGTCCATAGGTTCCTTGTGATTTGTGGTGGTGTGGACTTTTGTTGTCATCTCCCTCATCAGCCTGAAAATGCTTGTATCTAATAATTAACGCTCTGCCCTCAGCAGTGACTAACCCCTGACCTCTTTTGAACCACAGTGAGGCCCCTTAGCCTCTCCCTCCCTCCAAACCCCAGGGTTCTTTGGGTTTTCTGGAGGTGGGTTGAGCTGTGACCCTATGTCCCTTCTTTTAGGAGACCATCTAGCTGGCTGCCCCCGACAGTGAGTGTGTTGGCTCTTGTGAAGCGGGGGGCACCTCCTGAGACACCTTCTCCTCAGGAGCTTGAGGCCTCAGCACCCAGCATGGTGCAAACCCATAGGTAAGGAGGACTGGGGAGGATGCACTGGTGTGTAACCATGTATGCTATCACAGCATGGATGGGAGGTAGTGTAAAAAAACCTGGGCTTTAAAATAAGACCATGCTTGGTGTGCATTGCAGCTTTTCTATTTATCATCGATGTGTCACTCATTTGTCTGAGCCTTGGATTTTTTTTTTTTTTTTTTTTTTTTTGGAGACAGAGTCTTGCTCTGTCGCTCAGGCTGGAGTGCAGGGGCATGATCTCGGCTCACTGCAACCTCCCCATCCTGGGTTCGCTTGTCTCAGCCTACCGAGTAGCTGGGACTACAGGTGCCCGCCACCACACCCAGCTTTGTGTTTTTTATTTTTGAGATGGAGTCTAGCTCTGTTGCCAAGCTGGAGTACAGTGGGGCGATCTGGGCTCACTGCAATCTCTGCCTCTTGGGTTCAAGCGATTCTTCTGCTAAGCCTCCTGAGTAGCTGGGATTACAGGCCCGTGCCGCCACGCCCAGCTAATTTTTGTATTTTTAGTAGAGAAGGGGGTTTCACCATGTTGGCCAGAATGGTCTCGATCTCCTGACCTTGTGATCCACCTGCCTTGGCCTCCCAAAGTGCTGGGATTACAGGCATGAGCCACTGTGCCTGGCCAATTTTTGCATTTTTAGTAGAGACAGGGTTTCACCGTGTTGCCCAGGCTGGTCTAGAACTCCTGACCTCAGGAGATTCGCCCGCCTCAGCCTCCCAAAGTACTGGGATTAGAGGCGTGAGCCACTGTGCCCGACCAGGATTCTTTCTATAAAAAGAGGATACGATGCAATACCTTTTTTATAGTTACAGAGACTAAACATAATTTTTTTTTTTTGAGACAAGAGTCTCACTCTCGCCCAGAC